GATTCACACCATCTGAGATGAATGGTTCCTACACAGGCAATGACCTTGACGAAATTGGGCAAGACAGCATCAAAAAAACAGATGAATATTTAGAGAAGGCACTGGAATACCTGTGCCAAATCTTTAAGGTACGTAACATCTTTCTAAGAATTTGCTCAGTGTGAGCAAGAGTCAGGATTCCTCAAATGTATGTCTATGTCTCTTGTACTTTGTGGGGTCACAAAGCCATCCAGAGACCTTGCTGGCAAATTTTGTTGTTAACATCTTCTAGACTCTTAACTTCACTTGACTACTTCAAAGGCTTTCAATACAGGTGAAATTAGGAGCTCTGAATTTGTACATGTCGAGCCTACTTTGTGTCAAGTGACCACTCTTTTGGACTGTATAGTTTATCCCAAACCTATCTCTTTAGTTGTGCCTGTTTTCACGTTTACAAACAGGCAAGGCAGTTTTACAGACAGTCCAGTATCTTCTAAATGTAGAGGTATAAAAATACAACAAATAACTGCAGTTGTGGATGAACTGTTAAACTTAAAAGAACAGATTAATTTCTCTGCAGCCACACTCCCTTGTATAGAATTGACCTAGAAGCAAGCTGTTTGATACTCCTTGAGAGCTAAGGGACATACAAACCAGAACACTTCCCTTGGATTGGAAAGCACAGAAAAGAAACCAGGAGACTTGTATCTCCTTTTAATGACTTAACTGAGGTCCTGTGAAGCAGTTCTTGGTATCTGAGCTGGATGTCAAAAACTTTCAGTGCTAATGAGTTTGAAGTGAGAAATAAATGAAATAGGAGGGGGTAGATCAAACACCTGCTATAAGAACTGTGTTATTCTTGAGCAGCTGAGTGAAGCCCAACTGACCCAGATGATGATGAAATGTGGGACAGCTCAAGATGAGAATGGAAAAGAACAGCTTCCAGACTGCATTGAGAGCGAGGATGGCCTCATTCTTACACGCCGTGGCAGGTACCAGGTGAGAGAAAAGATTCCCTATCAGTACTAAGATTGTTCTTGAAAAAAACAAGTTGTTCTCCTACAATGAAGAGAAATGCAACCAACTTGGGGCTAAGATAGGTGCCAGTATAAAGGAGTTTCAGATGGGAACTGCAAGATAAGTTGTTTATTTTCCCATTTCTAGATCATAAATGGCTTACGTAGATTTGAGGTGCAATATCAGGGAGATACTGAGCTCCAGCCCATCCGAAGCTACGAAAATGCCACTCTCGTTCGCCTCCTATTTCGCTTATCCTCACTGCTCAACGAAAGGGTGAGTGCAGCACTGCCTCCTTTTGTGTTTTCCATTGCAAGTTTTTGTTCTTCACTGCAGGTGCACATATATGACACTTGCGTTGCTCTTGCTCCATCTCTTTTATTGTGGTCTAGATGGGTATTTCCTAATGGTACCAGGCCTGCTTCTGTGCCTGCTTCTGCTCTTCCTACACAAAACATTTAAAGTGTTATTTATTAAGGTATTCATTAGGGTTGATGAACAATGAAGTATCATTCAGAATAAATGTTTCTAATACAGGAAAAGCAAATTCTTTTCTTCCTATAGGTATGACAAACACAAGGCAAGTCTGCACTAAAGCAGTTCTGCTGTTTGAAAGTGCATTTTGGTCCCCTCCTTCCCTATAATCTTCATCCCATAAAGGAAGGAACTTCTAAAATAAGTGACACTTACTTTATGACAGTAGTTGCAGTAGAATACTAATGTTATAATGTTTGTCACCTCAGTTTGCTGATCAGATGGACATGCTTTGCTCCAGAGAAGATTTTGTTGGCAGACTTTGTCGCTATCACCTTACCAAGCCCCACCTTGTCCGGAAAATCCGGCACAGTCCCATGGTGAATGACAGAACAAGCTTCAACCTGGGACCAAGAATCAGTCTGAGGTTTCTGGCCAGCTACAGGACTCTCATTTCTTTGCTGATGATCTACTTCCTTGCATCCTGGTTTTACATTGGGCCAGTGGGCTGCACGTTCATTATCCTGATTGGATATTCTCTTTATGCTGTAATAATGACGTTTTTCTTTGAAGGATGGAAACCACATGAACACTAGTTTTCTTCTCCTGGCTTACACTTGTAAAAATATGTTTTAAGGATGAGTCTGGGATTCTATGACTAACATGCTTTCATTATATCAGATCTACCTAAAGTATTTTTTAATACTAAACTGAGTTTTATAAACCATGTTGTGGTTTGTGGAGTGGAGATCATCAATGTAAATTTTATTTTTATAAAAGCATTCCTATAGAATCTAGTGAATATGTTGTTTGTTTGGGGCTTTTTTGGGGGAGGGAATGAGCTATCAGTATTTATAAAACTGAAATAAACCGTGCCATAGGTAGAAATAGTTTTGATTCAGCAATAACTGCATTGAAGCCTCTTACACTATTCTAAAGCAAGAATTGGCTGTAGGACTCCCACAGCATGCTGACAGGCAAAGCATGTTAGAAAGGCAACAGAAATAGCAGTGTACACAGAAATTCATAGGAAGTTGTACTGATAAAAACAAAACCAACCCACAGAAGACGGGACAAGGCAGGAGAAAAGTGGCATCTCACAGCCCAGTGCTGGGCTTAAACCTCTTTACTGCCTCAGGCCTCCTTAACCCAGGCAGCTTTGTGTCTTCTACCTCCATAAACCACTTCTTCATGTTGTTTGCACCTGTTCTGGAGTCACTTCTCAGTTGGGGTATTAACACTTGCATAGAAAAACAGAAGTTACTGCTCTGTTTCCCCTTGCTGTAACTCTATGCTGCCAGCTTTGGCCAGCAGATAGGAACATAACTCTCTTGGAGTTCAACAAATACGACGTTGTCCTCTCCCCTGACATGAAAAGGGCAAGAAATCCCTTTTGTTCCATCAATGCCTAAGGAATCAATCAGTTCCCATCTCAGGCAGCTGCACTGCAGCAATACTCCTGTAAAATACTGAGGGCTGCACACAGCAGTGAGAGGAGATGAGACACTTAGTAAAAACATGAGACTACCCACATGTGCCTTATAACATTCACAGCAGCATCTGACTCAGACCAGTTAAACACTGATGGAGCTGCCCAGCAGGGTGAGGATGTCAGTTAAGTGTCTCAGTAACAAAGTGGCACAACCTAGAGTAATAAATAAAAAGCATGTGTTTTCAGTCTGTTTTTTGACTTTAAAACATCCTTATTTCCCTAGGACCAAGGGTTCCCCACCAGCAGGCACAGCTGTGTGTATATTGTCTCAGTGTTCACTCTCACTTTTTCCTGCAATTTCCATTCTCTGAGCTATTTATGCACCAAATATTCCTTGGGGCAATGCACCAAAACATGCCACAAAGAAGAATCCAAAGAAAATCAGTTTCCAAAGACAACTCAATCAGTAAAATAACCATTTTGTGCTCAGTAAGAAGTACACCAGTTACGCACTTCGAAAGAGGACTAAGCAAAGTGAAATAAGGTTCAGTAAGAAAACAGCTATAAACTACATGTAAGTAAACATCCAGAACAATGCTGGAGGAAACAAAGCAGTCAGTACCATGAAAATCAGACTGTAATAACCAGTTTTTGTTACCAAATCCATCAGTTTGCTTGAGTCTCAGAGCTGCATGAGGGTTGCATCTCAACATGTTTCACACGAGAGGTTATTTCCTACTTACTGGGCACTGTCCTGCTGTAGATAATTGTCCTGCTGCCTTGATTTGGAGTACCTGATACTCGAGGCCCTTGGCTTTGTTCACTTGTTTGCTCAAACTGCCACTTCACACTGCTCCCATAATCAGCTCTGCAGTCACAGGACTTGGGTCATCATTTCTCTCTCTTTTTCACCAGTTAAAAAACTACATTGTTTGTTTGTAGATACCATTACTAATTGCTTGACCAGATATTCCAGGTCACTAAGAGGACAGTAAGGACAGTGTTGCATAGGATATAGAGCCATTTAGGATTTCATCCCCTGACCTCCGAAGCCTGTGAGTTGTCACTTATCATAGAACACAGTAACCATCATCCAATGGACACAACAGAACTGGTATCTAACATGGGAAGAGCAGTACAATGTTAGCATCCAACACAGGAATAATAATAAATTTATTACAATAGAAACAAACAGATAATGCATTAGTTCATGTACAAAATACTGGTAGCATTCTGCTGCCTCAGTCAGTGCCTACTAAGTACCCACATTAAAAAACATCCTAAAACTGATGACACCACATAGATTTACAGAGGTCATAGCAATTTCTTGACACTGCTGTAACAGAGCCCAGCTACTCTTTAAGGTTTGCTGCACAATACAGGGAGATGGGGCAGGATATAACGAGAACATCTGAAATTTGAAATTCTGCAGGAGGAAATTAAGAGTGAGCAACTTATAAGCATGGGGGAAATACAAAAAATGCACAAGATTAGGAGTTGCTTGTGGCAAATATTTTCTTAGAATTGCCCAACAATAAGGCAGCTGATGACTGACTTGAGTGCCCATCATTGTCAAGGCACAAAGGGTTGGTTGTCAGTTCTACTCCTGAGCTGATGTTTTTTTCCTTTTAAACAAACTGGTGTAGTAGAGGAGCATTTTCACTGCAGTGCATCAGCTCCCAAGGGAAGCCAGATGCCTCAGACTTAGAAGAAATGTAGCTACAAGCCTGCTGGATTGACCTGTGTTACTTGGCCTTTATACTGTTGGGTTTTTCCCCCACCTTTACATACACACTTACTGAATTTATAGAGGAAGTCAGTGTGCATATTAGTATCTCTTCTTCCTCATCAACCTCACTCTTGTGGAGTGAAAAATGTGGTCCCTGCTAACCAAAAACCGTTTATACAAAGTAGGATTTAAAATAAGCTATAAAATACTTTTTTTTTTTTTGCTCTATCTGGTTCCACACTCCCACCCCCTAGTGGGATTTATCTCACATATTTGAGGGATGCCTCAAAAGGTTGTCATTTATCCCATCTCTGGGCAAAGCTAATAGGCAAAAAGGTTCCTGCAACCACTGAGAAGTTTGCAAGCACATTCTAGTTGCAGCTAATTTATTTCTGGGGCAGTATCAGGTCACAAAACATACAGTGTGAAAGGAATACTGGCACTGAGCAAACTTTGAAGCAAATTAGGACATTTTCTCCCTACTCCCTCTTATACCAGACTCCCTGACGGAAGTCCACAAATAATTTCTTCTCTAAGAAGACAATAAAAACTCATCCTAAATACAGTCTCAAGAACCATATATACATACTCTGTATATTTGAAAATGCTGGCAAAAGTCCACAGAGGCAGAAGATAAAAAGCATGAAAGCTAAGTCTAACATCAGGTTCTCTACTGAACCTGACACCTAGAAACAAAACAACATAAGGCTTCTTTCTTCTGCAGTAACCTCCCCAAACTGTTTTTCCGGTGGCATGTGGAAGAGACCAGCTGTGCTGAGACTTTCTTGCTTGCTTCATGACTTAGACAGTGAGGTGTTATGCAGCAGAGAGGCAGGCCTGACGAATGCTCTGTGCCCAGGTGTTTAAGAGTGCTGTGACTGAATGCTTGTCTGGAAGTTGCAATAGTTTGGAAGTCATGTATCGATACACTGACTGCAAGAAGGGATTGGCTGCTGGAAAAAAAGAGAACAGATGAAGGAAGTTATAATAAAAATTGTATTAAAAATAATTAAAAGACTAACACTAGATGTGCACATTTCCCCACCGTTACCCCATACACATGCCCAATAAATGTCATGCCAGCATCCTCATACCATACTGTCTGGGGTTCTTTATCCACAGAGGGCTCTGGTCTGGATAGTCTGCTGGAACACTGAGCTGCAGTGGTGGGACATTTGGAAGATTCTTGTCATCTAGAATACAAACATACTTCCCATCAGATCAAAGCATTCCTTGCTGGATGAAAGGTTTTTTGGGTATAATTCAGCTTGGTTTCTAACCTCAGAACCCAAGGAGGAACCAGACTGTACATCTCCTTTTTTATTGAAAGGCAATCCCATTGCTCACTTCAACAGCACTTAAATTCTTGGAAGAAAGGCCTGGCTCACCATTTCATCTGCTCAACTCACTAAGTTAGACACCTCATTTTTTACCATTAAGTGCCTTATGTACCAATACCCACACAAAACCAGTCCCAGTTTCTCAAAGGAACAGGAGGAGGAAAGACTAATTTTCCCTACTGGAATCCAAGAACAAAGCAAGTAAATAGACGATACCAACTCATGAGTATTCAGCTAAGATGAAAAAAAATATGCAATCTGAATTTCTGTAATGTACATAATTGTCAGTGATCATTAGTACAAAATGAAATAGACCCTCCCAAAAATTTACTCAATGTTTCTCTAGCTCTGTCCTAGTTGTTGGAGGCAGAACAACTCTCACATATCTGTCCTAGTTGTTGGAGGCAGAACCATTCTCACGTATCAGAACAGGTCAAATCAGGAATCAAGATTGTTGCTAGCAACAAGTCATTTTCTAGACACTAAATGAGATTACCAATTGCAACTTCAGTGCAGAGAAAGGATCAGTGTCAATTGAAATGCCCAGCTGTACCCTGAAGCAGGCTGAGCAGGATGTCATGATTAAGCAATGCTATGAACCTATTAAGTACAGACTTCATGCAGAAGTTGCAGATTAGCCAGAATCATGACTGTTAGCAAAAAGCTCTTTTTCTATAGTCAAGCTCAGCACATCTTTCTGAAATCAGCCCTTAGATTCCTCTTGCTTACCTAGCTTGCATATGAGATGAACTGTGCCGTTATTACTGCAGTGGGAAGGGTCCAGGTTCACCAGGAATTTAGGATTTAATCTTGCAACTTCTCCTTGTAAGACATTTGGTATGGTCTGTCTTTCATCCTCCTCATATTTCCGTTTTCTAGGGGAAGCAACTGGGGCCCTGTGTAAAACACAGTCCACAAAAGGACCAGGTAAAATATAACTATATAACCCACACCCATCTATAAACCCATCTGCTCTTTTAAGAGTTTCTACAAATAAACATTTTCTCCCCAAATAGTGAACACTTAGGACAGAGAGCAGGTCAGTGACACCTACGTGATGGGTGGTCCATGAATTGCGGTCATAGCTGGCATGAACGTTCGGTAAAGGGAATGGTTGAAGACTGGTGAACGGATGTTGGCCAAAACAGCATCCAGAAGTGGCTGACACAAGTACTGCTGCTTGGTAGGGGGCACTGGAGGAGGTGGTGGAGTAGGCTGAAACACAAGACAAATCCCTTTTCTTTTAACCATCACCAAACAAGAAATCTCTACTATTTATTCTGCAAAATTTTATAGCTATAAGCTTCCAAAGCATGAAATGCAAATGATTATCAAAACCACTACAGTGACAGTATGGGAGGAAAAAAAACCATCCACAGCCACAAAAGTTCCTAGAAAGAATTATTCAAGTCTTGGCACAAAGCACAAGAAATTGAAAGTTCAGTTAAAAGATACAGACAGGTGACTTACTTGAAATACATGCTTGCCCATTTTTTCCTGTTCTCTTATTTAGTCCAACTTACTTGAAGTCTTAACAGCATGAGCAACAAAAAAATCCCAAGACCTTTCAGAATTAATTGCTTATCTTGGCTGGCACAAAACAGTACATACCACAGCCATGTCATTTTTCAGCTTCTCCAGAGCAATTTCACATTTCTGCAGTGTCTTCAGAGGACACCTGCAGCAGAGGAGAAATTCCATCACCACAAAACAGTCACCTCAGCTGAAGTGTTTCTGCTATCTGAGCCCCACAGGTGGGCTCAATGTCAACATGGTCAGATGCTAAACAACAAATTTCTGGAATAGCTGAGAAAACTGATGTCCAGCCAAGAGGAAAGAGTTACCGTTTTGAAGGGTCAGTCAGGATATCCAAGAGACTCTTCATTTTACTCAGGTCCTTCTTCCTATCTGAAATATTATCAGACATATAAATACTGACTACAAAAACAGCTTCCTTTCTTGCAGACAGAAATATAGTACACTGGTAAAAGTATATAATTACGTGTATACATAAGCCAACACTGAAGAAAGTAGTGTAGATCACAGATCTTTCATCTAATCATAAATATATCCATTGCATAAGCTCTAAGTCTAAAAAAATATAAGCAAAGGAAAACTGATGAGAGTTTAAGGATAAAGATTTTGCCCATTCATCACATGACATCTTTAAAGTCATAGGTAAGAGCAACTAACCTTCTCTGTCATTTTTAATCCTTGGAACAGAA